GGTGGTTAAACGTTGCGTATCAATAGAGCAGGCTTATCGATTTGTTACAATTTAGCTCATTAATGTGTCATCGAGGCTTTCATTATTGTAGACGATGACATACAAACGTGACTATTTGGATCTGTGTGAGCGGAAGTGACTGTATTCCCCGCTTCCCGAACGTGCTAGGACACATTTACGGACAAGATAATGGCAAAATAGCTAGCAGGAAATCCTGGAGGATTCTGGCTCATAATCACGAAAGTGACCACGGGATCCGTTGGGATCCGTTCTAGGACCATATTGCCAAGGATCAAAGTGCCGATTTGGTATTTATATATTTCTGATAACTCGCGAACGGTGATATCACATTGGTTATTTTCAATGCATAAAATTCAAATTTATGATGGATATTACGCAGTGAATATTTATTAAATCAATTTTTAAGTAAAGAGGAATGTCCAGTCCCTCGCAATAACTACTGTATAAAATAAAGTCGGGCCAACGAAGTGCGCGCGAGCGACATAAAACAACTGATACATTTTGTTTCAATTAGGGGTTTCGTTTAATCTTAAAATTTGTTGGATCAGAAACGCATTTATTAAAAAGAAACGATACATTATATTTCTATCAAAATATTGTCCACCATTTGCTACAACCTTTTCCCATCTTCCCGACAATAAGTGCATTCCATGATAGAAAAAAGACTTATCTTTAGAGGCAATCCATTTGTCGACGAATTTTTTTATTTTTTCAAAGTTTCGAAAGTTGTGTAGCTTGAAGCGCATGTTGCATTGAAATTGGAACAAGTAAAAATCAGACGGTGCAATGTCTGGAGAATATACAGAGTGGGGCAAGATTTCCCATCAAAGTTCCAATAACTTGTCTTTCACGGACTTTAGCGACATGTACCCTGATATTGTCATGTAAAAAAATCACTATACGTCTTTTGTTCGCGATTAGAAGTCGTTTGTTATCCAATGATTGTTTTAATTTGTTGAGAATAATGATCAGCTGTTATTTGGTTTTAGCAATATTCAATACATTCATAATCTTACCAAATACAGAGCATAATCTTGTTTCCATGAATAGCGTCAATGTTGATTATCTTGGATCTACCCATGATTGTTTTATCTAGCATTATAATATATCCACTTTTCATCGTCAATTACAGCTTGATACAAAAATTGGTTTTTTGTATCCCTTGAAAACAGTGAAACGTAAGTGTTTATAACGATTTCGGATAGAGAACTTGGACAACTGGATAAATGGATGTGGAATCCATTTTCTTTTCTTCCAAATCATTTCTATAACTTTTAAACGATTGAACATGATAGTTTGACCAGTATCCAATTGTTCTGCCAGTTCTTTAAGCGTTTGAGTCGAATTATCATTCAATAATGTATCTAATGACAACCCTCAAAATTAACCGAATACATTACCTGAAAGCGTATAGTTTTGTGTATGTAATCCAACATGTTATTCTGGAATAATATTTAAAAAGAAGAAGGAATAGACATTATAATATAATAATTATTCTCTCTCTCTCTCTCTCTCTCTCACACGTAATGATGGAGTAAGACTTTACCGCGATAATTTTTTTCACTGGAGAAACATTTTTCAAAAAATCTAAAATCTCTCGAAGCTAAAATCTCTAGAAGCGACATTTTGCATCGTAATGAACTCACATCGAAACAATCGTTTTGCGGTTGCATCGAAGACAGATCGCGTTGACAGTTTTGACATCGCGATCGTTAGGGGCTAACATGCGAGGGGGTAAGTATGAGAGAAATGAAGGGAAGGAAAGAGGGCGAATGAATGGGTGAAGGGAGGTGCAAGGGTAGGGAGAAAGGATAAAATCCTTAATTGAAACCGACACGCAGCGGCGGCCGATGTCAGGTTGCAATTTCGTACGACGGAGCCAGTTAAACTTGCGAGTACAATATAATTACCGAAGTTGCCAGTAGCACGTGAAACATCGTCGTTGCCGGTGCAAGACAATGCCCGGATGCTCCTCTTACGACTTCCGGGTAATTCGTCTACCCCCGTCCTGTCTGTATCTACCCCATCCCGCCATCTCTTGCTGCTATCACATCCCTTAGCGTCCACTCTCGACGCTCTGCGACTGCACCATACAAGAGTGATCCAGATTAATTTGAATAAAATTTGAATGAAAAGGTCCAGCACGGAAACAAGCAGGTGAACGGACGAACGGAAGGACCGCGCAAAGATCGATCGTGCGAAAATTGCGCTAGCTTTTACGACGAAATTCCATGGGAATTTTGCGGATTCAAATTAATGCAGTCGCGCCGTCAGCAACGAATATTCTGATATCTCGCCGACGTTAATTTTGCCTGTAGAATGCTGAAATAATTTTGTATGCGTCGCTACCTAAACGGTATCTGATAGTTTTAATATTCGCATGTGGTTAAGCAAAAATAATTATAATATTAAAAATAATAATAATAATCCTACGCAACATAAGAATATATTTGTGTAATTAATTAACGATGTTCTGGAACATGGTTGACGGTCTTCATATTTTTATTTTTCATTTTTCCGACATCACGTACACGTTATCACGGCAAACACGTAGAATTCTGAAATTGTTCTATTATGAGTGCGAGCTGCTAACTTGTTGCACAACATAACTTTCGAAACATGGATATTCCGTTTTGGTGTTGATGGACTTGGTTCACCTGGCATCACCCATGCTTTCGGACGTTTAGGGTTATCGTAGTATATCCATTTTTAATTGCCAGTCACGATACGGTGCAGAAAACTCTTCCTTTGTTGTCGTTGAAGCAGCATCTCGCACGTAACCAAACGTCTTTCCATGTCTCTCTCTTTCAATTTGTATGGCACTCAATTTCCTTCTTTTTGCACCATTCCCATTACGTGTAGACATTTTCCAACAGTGGATCAATTAACATTTAATTCTTTTGACAACTCATCGAGCAATCGACATGGATCTTCTTCGAGTAATGCTTGCAATCCAGCATCTTCAAATTTTTTCGGTGGACGTTCACGTTCTTTGTCACACACGTCGAAATCACTACTGTTGAATCGTCGAAACCATTCTTTACAAATAGTATTCGATGGAGCATATTCATTGTAAATATCTACGAGCAAACAATGTGTTTCCGTAGCACTTTGCTTTGAAATAAAATAATAGAGTAAAACTTCCTGCACATGTTGCTTTTTTGGAATAAATTCCAACATTTTCAACGCAAAAAAATTATTCTTGTTTACACTTCGAACAAATGCCAACTACTAGGGTGAAAAGCTTGAACACACACCTTTCACATATATGTATTGCCGTTTTATCAAACACATAAACAATGCTACTAACGACATCTCTTTACAATGGGCGGAAACTTATTCCTATGCCCAATGAAATCATTCCCAAATTTATAATAATTTATGATATATAATTACAAATACTAAAGTATAATTATAATTTAATAATAAACATAATCAGTATAAATTATTAGGAGTAATGTCGCTTTTTAATACTTATACAAAATTTTATTTTATTTAACATTAGTACTTTCAAAATTTCGCAATAAACACACTAAATGTCAATAAATTTAATTAGTATATAGGTTATGTAATAATAAATCATGTTCACGAACAAGGTGACGATGTATATTTAATCTGAAAAATACGACATTACGTGTGCGTGCGTGCGTGCGTGCGTGCGTGTGCCCCTAATAATTAATATATTAACTACCAAATATGTATTATTTCATAGTTCTCTTTTGACTTGAGAAAAGAATTTTTTATCCCATATGCCAGTTAGTATTGTGTTAATTTGCATAGGTTTTCTGTAAATTTATTTAAATAATAAATAGTTAATTAACATATTAAAGTAACACGCTGATCTTAAAATAATGTTGAGAATAAAGTTTCTTTTACTATCATTTTATAGTAATTAAGATGTATTAATAATTACAAATTATTATGATGATATTAAAATTATTGCAATGAATATTCAAATTTATATAATAATTTGATTTTAGCAAAAAAGAATTAGAAGAAACCAAATAAAAGAAATAAATGCCGAAGTTGCTAGCACTGCCTGATGCGGGGGAACAAATACTATTCTGTTTCAATCGTTCAGCAACCAGCGTGCAGTGTTATTCGTTTGACAAGTATGAATGAAGTAGATATGTATCCAAGCATAAAACAACGCATTATTATTAAATTTCTTACGAAAGAAAACGTGAAACTATCAGAAATTTGTAAAAGACTTAAATGACAGTTTGGTGAGGAAACGTTGTCAGATATAAGCGCCTATAAATGGCGTAAAGCTTTTAGAGATGGCCAAGAACGAATCGAGAATGAACCGCACTCTCGACGCCCGAAAACATCGACAACAAAAGAGGTGGCTAACAGAATTAACACACTTATTCAAAATGATCGTCGAATTACGGTGCGGGATATTGTTTCTACATTCAGTATCAGTGTTGGTAGTGCGCATAACTGTATCAGAAATCAGAAATCAACTTCATTATCGGAAAGTATGCGCACGTTGGATTTCACGAATACTAATGGACGAACACAAACAGACACGCTTGCAGATGGCTCATTCATTATTGGTACAATATGAAGAAAAGGAAGATGCCTTTTTATAGTCACTACTGATGAAATCTAGGTACACTATTTTACCCCAAAAACTAAAAGAGTATCAATGCAATAGCGACCTTCATCTCCAAAACTAAAGAAAGCAAAAACCATTTTTCCAGCAGAAAAATTATGGCTTCATTTTTTTGGGATATGAGAAACGTTTTACACATTGCTTTCTTAACAGAACAGCAGACTATAAACGCCAAATATTACTACAATTTATTGAAAGACCCAGTAAAAACAGCCATCCGAAACAAACGTAAAAATATCAGCATTCTGTTTGTTTATTAAAGGATAATGCGCGTCCTAATGTCACCGCTTATACGATAGCTACAATTCGAAAACTGAAATGGACTGCTCTTCCCCATTCGTTCTACCCGGACTTCGCCCCTTCTGACTTCTATGTGTTTAGGTCCTTAAAAGAGTTTCTAAGGAAGAAAAAGTTTCGTTCGAGAAGAATTTTTTTCTCAAGAAATACGGAAGCTGTCGGAAAGATGGCGCCAGTGCATTGAAAAAGAGACTATATTGGAAACAGATAGTATGTAAATTATTTCTTTTATGTTACTTTTTAAATAAATAATTACGTTATAATTTTAATTGAAACACTCGTACAAATTCAATTCGTACAGACTCACGCTCGTTATGATTGAATACAAGTATAAATTTACGTATTGACACAAAATACGTGTTGGATTCGCCAAAATCAGATAAGAAGGATCTAAAATCTTTCCCAACAAGCTCTCTCTCTCTCTCTCTCTCTCTCTCTTTTTAACTCTATCGTTTTCTAGAATATAAATATCAATAAGTACTCACCATGACGAAGTCTGCGCGGGTATTGTTGGTAGCGTCCCGGGTGGCAGGGACCTCCTCATTTGGCAGCAGGTTCTTCCGTTCGTGGACGTATCTCCGCAACAAGCGACCGGGTTCGCGCACACGTGACGACCAACGGTGACACCGACGCCAACAGTCGCCGTGGTAGTCGCGGCGCCGCCGACAGTGCCGGCAGTAGTAGCGAACTCGACCGTAGATGCGCGCACCTTAGGCCTCAACAATGGCGAAGTAGCGAAGGTCTCCCGCTGATTAGACGTCGTGCTGCTGGAGCTGCTAGAGCCAGGGCTGCCGCCGAGCCGGCTGGACGTGGCATACGCGAACCCACGAAAGCGGAAATGCGTTTGGTACGGATAACCGGCGGGCGGTGGTAGCCGATAATGATGGTGAAAGCCGAGATCGCGACGCATATACGGATCGCCGGGGTCGTTTGCAGGTACATATCGATCTGTCGGTGTGTGTACCGCGGGCGGCACGTACCTGTCCACGTACCTAGACAATTATAGAAAACGGGAACCTTTGAAGCATCAGTCTAATAAAGGATTACATAAGTAGATTGCGAGAGTTCGGTGTGAAATTCGAAAAACAGCTTCAGATCGAAAATAAATGTCTTCGTTGGGGATTTATTAAATTTAAACAAATAGTCCTGCACGTTCTCGCATAATATATTATAGAGATTTGTTCAAATTTGTAGGACTGTTTAAAATAATTTTAATGGCTTACAAGATGAGTCATTTTATAAATGTAGAATTGGAAAATATCTTGAAACGTGACAGAAAATGTGATGGATAACAATAATCTAATAACAATAGTGAATACTTTGAACATAACATGTTTTATTATTCTTAATAAAAAAATATAAGATCAATGATTACATAGGCCTACAAGGTTCAGATACAAGAAGCAGAGTAGTGACTTCCTACATAATTTTGATCGCTGAATCTGAATTCGTTAGCGAAAAATGTCTATCACGTCAGGGTTTTCAGATAAATAGTGTGATATGGGCCAAAAACAGTGATTTTTACCATTTTCAAAGCATTACTATAGTTGACCAAATTATGTTTTTAATATTCTCTCAACGGCTTCTTAAAGCGCTATTTTTTGTCTTAAAATTGCGATTTTTTTTTCGCTAAATTATGAAGGTTTGAAGATAGAAACTTTTTGACGATAAGACTATGCATTGCCGAAATGGTGAAAAATCGACAACTCGGTGAATTATTAAGTAATATTTTGAAAATTAGTATCCGCGAGTTGTTTGAGTCGCTGAACATGACTTTGACGTCAAAAAGTTTTTATCTACAAACCTTCATAACTTAGTGGAAAAAATCGTAGAGAAATAAAAATATCACAATTTTAAGACAAAAGATAGCGCTTTAAGATATCGCTGAGAGAATGTTAAAAACATAATTTGGTCAACCATAGTAACGCCTTGAAAATGGCAAAAATCACTGTTTTTGGCCCATATCACCCCATTTGTCTCAAGAACCTGACGTGATAGGCATTTTTCGCTGACGGATTTGGATTCAGCGACCAATTACGTAGGAAATCAATACTATTCTTCTTGTATCTTTAGGACTTTTAATTTTGTAATCCTGTGTTATTATTTACAGGCTCTTGAGTTTCCAATGAAGAATTCAAAGCCGGTAAAAACTATCACAAAATGATATGTGATTAATTAATTGCAGGAAGATAATAATGTCCGTCGAAATAACGCACATGCTAAGGAATTTTTCGGTCGTCTAATGTGCGCGATGTATTAGATGTACAAATTAGTTCGGTGCCTTTTTCCATAAAATTTAAAATTTATTTACAAAAAGTCAAATACAAGTTTAATGTTCGAAATATTTTCCGTTATTTTCTGTGACTTTATTTCATCTGTCAGGCGGCTGATAAATGCCCTCGCGGAAAAAACTTGGCGGTTTTGACTCAATAAAGTCATGAATGCTTTTTTAGACCTCGTCAACTTTTTTAAAATGCGTATCCACCAGATGATGTTGAAACGACTAAAGTAGGTGATAATTCGACAAGGCTAGATCTGACGAATAAGCTTCATGAGGAAGAATTTCTCAGTGTAATGTATTGGTGAAATCCTTCGTTTCTTTTGCGACATGTGGCCGTGCGTTATCATATAGCAGAATCACCTGCCTAATTCCAATGTCGGCAAAAGGTTTTACAAGTTTTATGGATCATAACACCTTCACCCAAAGCGGAACAAATCATTTCGATAGACTGGCAACGTTTTTATTCTATTGAAGTGCACAAAAGATGCAGTGTCTCAGATGTTTCTTTTCGAACATCGTGATAACTACCGTTTTCTGAAGTTATGTCGGCAAAGTCGCCAACTATTATAGTACTTCTTAAAGCTTAAGGTTGACTTTTTCAAATCACCATAGGACGGGAAAAAAATTTAAATTTGGACCTGAGTTACAGGATATTAAATTATAAGAACACCGAATTAATTTATACACCTAATAATAATTGATTTTTTATGTCTAATCGACCTTGTTTTCTGATTTTATTTAAAACTATATAAACTATATAAACTCTTTCCCTGAAAATTAATTTGACGTCTATACACAGTGTTGTGAAAAATATTGCCTCAGGCAAGAATCGAACTTGAACCATATTTCTCGGTTAAATGCGATAACTAATGTCATCATTATCGTTATTATATATTGATTGTTTCATCGAATATTATTATCTTTCCATAAAATTATTTACAATCATACAATCATTCTTTATTTTATTAATTATTTGCTGTCATCTTGTGGCGGTTCTCAATGACTTCAAATTCTTCATAAAAAGAGATATACAGCTAAAGACTTGACTAACTTTGCAAGCCCTTAATAGAATTAAGATCCACTTATTAGATATTGCCAGATCCAAAGATGAATTTAATTTTCATATTCTTAAATAATAACTAGCGTTGAGTCCCTCATATTAACTCTTTTTTATAAATTAATATATTTTCTTAAATTTAATTTTTATTTCCCTCTCTTCCTCAAAAGGAATTTATATTTTATAAAATCTGCCCTTACCTATCCGGATAGAGCACTTCCGGTGGCGGCTGAGGTATATATCGCTCGACAGGAGTATGCGCGGTTGGAGGCACATAACTCACGCTGGATGAACCGTAGGAACGATCGGTAGACGACGTTGCAACGGCGGTAGTGCAGGAGATGGGTGTTATGCGGCCGGTGAACCTGTCTTTGGGCTTCGGCAAGGACAGATATTTGTCGGCAACGCTGCGCGCTGGCGAGTAGCGATCAGCAGCAGCATGGAAGCGATCACTTCCGGTAGAGGTCTGAAATCGGTCGTTACTGCTTCCGGATGCGAAGTATCGGTCTTGGCCGTACTGATGATCACTTTGGTCACTGACAGAGTAGCGATCGTAGCTGCTTTGAACTGATTTCGAGACTAGGTACTTGTCAATGTTACTCTTCGTATTTTGGTAGCTACTACCGTTGCTGCCGCTGCCACCGCTGCCATTACCGCGGTGAACGCTCGGCGACGCTTCAGGTGATATTGACGCAAAACGATCGCTGGACGCTGATGATTGGGTGCCAGTAGTGGTCATGTAGGGAGAGTGATATCTGGTACCTAAGATTACAAGGATGAAATTCATAATTAATTACTCACGAAAGGACTAATCGCGCAGTGAAGACTTGTCGAGACATGAAACACCATCATTTATCGATGTTAAATGATATTTCTATACAATTTAATATCTCGATTATATAACGCAATATGTAAAAGAAATTTATTTCACGTAGACATCAACGTCCAAGCTCGTACAATTTATAATATTTCTTATTTGATTTTAAACAACGAATCCTCAACTTTTTTCTTTATGACAATATCTTTATATATATATATAAAATATACATATATATATATTGTGACGATGCAAATTTTCGCTCGTCACTCAGGCTGTGGCCTGGCCGAGGAGGAGCCCGAGGCTTCTCGTAAGAGAAGGCGGCCGAGTTACCGATTTTTGGTCCCGTGCGCCGTTTGCGCACGAAGACCTTCGCCCGGACGGAGGGTCGGCGACAGATAGCGGGATGGCCACCTGGCGTTAAAAAAGGCGTAAGGTCCCGCGACCCGGTCGCAGAGCAGGCAGGGAAAGATCCGGTGGAAAACGCGCCCGGGAACCCTGTAAACTACTGCGAACCTAATAGTTGCCGAATGCCGTCCCGGGGAAAGAACAAGCATAAACACACGTCGAGAGAGCAACAACAGACGCGAGGTCCCGCGAGCACCCTTGAGACGCGTGATCTGGCCGACAGCACCAATCGGGGGCCGCATCGCGCGGCGTGATAGATCCTTGCAGCGGCTGCCTCCTGCGTTACGTGACGAGTCCTGCTCGTCACTGTGCGGTCCGACGGCAAGCCTACCGGACGTCCGAGCGAGCGAGGGAGCGTGCGAGCGAACGCTGCCGTGTCGGGGACGAAGTCCAGAAGAGGAGAGGCGAGCTGCCGATGGTGAACGGGTGAGCGAAAACCATGTACAGCCGCGGGTAAAAGACTTAAAGTTGCGTGTAATTCTGAGTAGTTGCCGCCGCTTCTCGGCGGCATGGGCGCGGAAGGAGTACCGGGAAATAACTCGTTGGAGGTTCGTGGCGCCCGGAAGATAGGGTCGCACGGATTTACGAGGTCTAGGAGGCCACGTCGCAGGGCGACAAGGGCCGTGCTCGAGAGAGTCTCGAACGTAGAGATCCCGGAGACTCGGGTGAGGCTCGGTCGCCTTCTCAAGTCATAGGTCGCATAGTCAGCGTAGATTAGAGGTTCCGATTGCATGTGTCGGGGCGTGCGCGGTAGAAAAAGTATAATAGTACGTAGGGATTGCTTTCGGCGAACGGGTACGTCCGACAGTATCGAATCGGCCGGGAGCAGGAACTACTGTCGGGAAGGACCCGGCTGGCGCCCAACGAGGGGGATATATATATGTGTGTGAGTATATTTATTTATTTATTTAGATATATCGGTTTTATAACGTCTTTCGACGTTGTCCGATCCCTAAATGTATATACTTGTAGTGCGAACGCAGATTATACACAAGTATATGAGACCTATAGTTTAATGCCGATTCTAAGCGGCAGTTTAAGGTAGAATTTTCATGACCAAAATACTTTCGGTGTTTTGCCAGTTCATCGGAGAGAAGACACGAGCAGCGTATAAAAATATTTTGGTTCTATCGGGAGGCGAGAACCTGAGATCTCTGTTATAGCAGACCTCCGTCTACTATGCCACGCTCGTTCTCTTATATCAAGTTCTTATTCTCTTATATCAAGTTCTTATTCAATATCTTAATTAATATGTAAAAGTGCGCATTGAGAAAGAGAAAAAGTGATTGGTATTTGTAACTATATTACATAGCAAAATATAATTATAGTCGGAAAACTACTTTAATATAATAAATATAGTAAATATTATCATATCAATATAATATTATAGTATCAGTGATAATATAGCTTCATATTATATTACTATTACCCTTTTTTGTTAGAGTAATAAAACAATATGATTGGTATAAAAATAACTATCCTAGATAGCACATGATATCAATCGTACATACTATTTTCATACTAAATGTACTGTAGAAAAATGTAATATACTAAGAACATCCTTACAACATTTTTCGTAATATATCATATCTCATACATTTTCAAAACATACTCAGAACGTAGAAATTTAATACAACCGCTAGCGGACATTACATGGTAGCATCAAATGATATATATATATATCTATATATATATACGAAATGTTGTAGAAATATTCTCAATATTGTAAAAATCGGAGAAAAAATATACCGGAAGCTGGAATTTGCTGGCCTGGGACCTTCCGCTTTCTGGGCGACTGCTCTTACCACTGAGCTATCCAGACTGCTACGATACACTCTCTCTTTTCCTATTATGTTATTGTCAAGATGATCTTTTATTCCTCGTTTGATCACCTACAGCTCGGCCAGCCTGACAATACATTCGATTCCAAATGTCTTAACATGTATCCGTCATCTACGCTCACTGGCAATTACCGTAACTCCGGACTGTTACTGACTGTAACTGTGTTCCTTCAATGTAACACTAACACAGTCTCATACACGCTCACTCTGTTCTTCATCTAGAGTCATACTCCGAATTATTGCGTTCCGCGGACATTAACTCACTAATTTCAAATTCTCGCGGAATTTGAATAATTAGTTCGAACTTTTCCAAGGATACGCGAGCACACACTTTTGAACTATAAAGATCCTTGCACAATGTCAGGCAATAGGAGCAGAGAATAGCACAGACAATAGATTTCTAACCTATCGGAAACCGTGTATCAATCGCTGTGTTTTTATACACGGTTTCCAATAGGTTGGAAATCTATTGTCTATATTATTCTCTGTTCCTGTTGCTTGACATTGTGCAAGGACTTTAAAAATCGGAGAGAAAAGTATACCGAGAGCTGGAGCTTGCTCTCTAAGCCGGGAATCGAACCCGGGTCTTCCATTTGCCGGGCGACTACTCTTACCGCTGAGCGGTAAGCTCGGTCGAGCAACAGGAACCCTGGTTCTTGCTCCGATACACTCTCATCTTCTTATGTTATTGTCAAGATGATCCTTTATTCCTTGTTTGATCGCCTACAATATATTATATATATTATAGTATATATAGTATGAAGATAATACATATGAATGAGATATCATATGCTGTCTAAATTAATATATATTATATTAATATCCGTTGCTGTTGTTACATTTTCTTTAATAACAAATATATGATTATAATACTTTTTTTTATTAATATGCTTATAATATAAGAATATTTTATAAACATAATCCATTATGATATCATCACAGCTCATTGACATCAGAAATTCCTATTTAATCATTGAAGTCAATATGACCACGGTTAAGTTGGATAAGTAATCACTACAGAATCGAAACCATGCAGGGACACGTCACAGCATCGCAAAATATGATATATTATGTTTTTATTACTATTATATTATTATTATATTATTATTTTAAACAAAATAATAAACTATATTTTTTATAGGACATCTTAGATGTTCTTATAATATACTGTAGGATGTTCTCAGTATGTGTTGACAAGGGGAACTTGTCACAACTCTCTGACGTCGATTTATTTATCCTTGAAATATATTGTTAAATAGACAAATTTAGGAGATACGTATTTTTGTATACGTATATTTAAATTCAAATAAGATTTTAAGGAATGAAACAACCCTTCAAATGTAATTCGGCATAAACGTAGTGTTTTAAATTCCGCTGTTTCCTCTTCATTGCGTCACGCTATGGTTCAAGATTTCTCAAATAATTCTCCTTGTTTATTGTGCGACCTTGCGGAATATATTCGTAGCATACAAGTGGTGTGCACCTTCCTGGTCAATGAAAACAATGAGCGTTGCCTTCACGTTGTTCCGACTCTGGCGCGCTTTCTTAACTCTTCCCTCGTCGTCCATTGCGAAGATTGTACTTTTCATAGAGTCATTACCATAAATTTTACGGATCATACCGATTGTCTCAAAACACGTGTGGCCAAATTTTTTGCAAAATTTAATACAAATTCTCTACTCGACTCGCTCAGTTATTGTGAAATGCGACGCTCGTGGTTTTCGACGCTCACACAACTGTGTACTGTTGCCGATTGGACAACTGTTGGATCGTGCCGCTTGGTTGGGGTACTCCTCAAGGTCCCCCTTAAATACTGAATGCCTGTTGTTCACAATAGGATGCCCAAGGATAAAGATATACACAGAGGTTGGATACTTCTGGGACAGACCTTGTAATCATGTCGCATTTCTTATTCCAAGTTCGTGTTGTGTCATATCTCTTATCCAAGTTCTTTCATGGAAAAGCAAAAATTGCACTTACCGGTTTCCGAAGAAGAGGTTGGCGAGGAAGACGTCGGCGCCAGTAAACGTTCTGTGGAGGAGACGATGTAGCGCGGCGTCTCGGCGTTGGACAATCTGCCATCGTGCGCTGGTGACGATCCGGCGAGATAGCGATCGCTGGAAAATCTGTCGGCCGATGAGCGCGACTGGCCGCAACGTTGTTGCGCCAGATCGTTAAAACGGTCATTGCTAGACACATATCGCGTCTGACTTGCGCTGACCTCTGGGAAACCGGAGTACCGATTGAAGTCGGCAGACGCTGGGGAGGTGGTCGACCGATCCGTATATTTCTGACAGACCGTCTCGACGCCTCTGTCGGTGTAGAGACGTCGAGTTTGTTCGATGCTGCTGGACGTGGCTTGAAGAGACGAGCGATCCGAAGATGAATAACGCTGATGTGCGCTCTCAGGATTAGGCGAATTCGAAAGGAACCTGCGAGATATCCCGAAAGAAGAAGTTGAATAGAATATACAGAGAATGTATAGAAACTGAAATAAGCCCACGATTCATAAATTCCACTTCAGGCACGACATTATATTTAAAATACTTTCCGTGTGAAGCAGCTCTATAGGCTCGATGTAATAAGTTCGACAAACAGATGAGATCGAATCATTTTATCGATGTCATCGCGATATATAACTTAAAATCCCGGAAACGACGAATTCGCGAGGTTTATTATAAATATCGTTAGTTATCAAGAATAGTATTGTTTATCGCGATCCTGACTCACCTCTCGGTGGCCGTCGCCATCGCCGAATATCGTTCATGATGTGTTCCCGTTGTCGGATCCTGTCGAGGATACCTGTCGTGAATAGGCGACTCGGCCAAATACCGTTCCGACTTGCCGATGAACCTCTCTGGCACCGGAGCGTGTATCGGCGAGGAGGATAATAACCTATCAGCGGAAATGGCGGTATAACGGGTATCCTTGGCGTAGAGGCTATTACTTTGGAGTCCAGTCTGAAGTCCACCCAGGACTGGTGAGGAGCCTGAGAGCAAGCGATCAGATGGTCCAGCGTAGCGTTGCTGATCCTTGGCATCACCTGCGACTGACTGCTGACCGGCCAGCAGCCGTTCGGCGGAGGCAAAACGCTCCTTGGAGGGCATTGGCGATGCTGGAGCGGTGCCGCCGGCTCCGTACTTGGACCCCGGAGAATTGGGGGGTAGAATGCGATCAGCAACAGGGTAACCAGCCAAGCTCTGGCTCGATGCGTACTTTTCGCTCGGGCTAGGCGATAACGGCGGTGGTGGGACGAATCGGTCATTCGCCGGCGCCGGCGATGGCGGCGACGGGAACGTCTCCGTGGAGAAGGTGCTCGCGAGGGCGTTCGCGTTCGCATACTCACCAGCCTCGTTCGTGGTCGTACTCGTGTCGAAGCGTAGCTCCGGGTTGCAAATTGAGTAACGATCCGCGCACGTCGGCGGCGGCACCACCACCACTCCCCGTTGCTCTGTACCGTGCAACGCGCTGAGGTCATTAAAGCGTGCGAAGCGATCGGCGGTTCGCACCGCCCCGTAGTGCCCTTGCAACGGTGACTGACCGAACGTCGGAGTCTGATAATGTCCGAAACGCTCGCAGTTCGGCTGTCGACCGTCACCGATGCACTTGGTGAAGTCGATAGCCTGCTTGTCGGGTGGTTTCTCGTGCCGCTCGGCCATTCGAACACCCACCACATGGGCCTGATCACCGTTCTGGGCCTGATAATGTCCATAACGCTCACAGTTTGACTGACGAGCCTCCCCGCACTTGGCATAATCGACAGAAGATTTGTCCGTAGTCTTTTCATGCCGTTCGATGCCCATCCGGTTCGCATGTTCGCCGCTTTGGGCCTGATAATGCCCGAAGCGGTCGCAACTCGAAGGGCGTCCTTCTCCGCATTTCGAGAAATCGATCGTGGGCTTCTCCGCAGACTTCTCGTGCCGATCGACCATTCGAACCCCGACATGCTCGTTGTTTTGAGTGTGCTGATCCGACTGATAGCGCTCCGTGCCCAATTGGCTCGCAGTACTCGTGACTGCACGCAAGTCAGACGATTGTTGCAATTGTTGTTGCTGAGTTTGCTGCTTGAAGCAATCGTTAGGTTTGTTGGGGCTGATCTGCAGCCCCACCACGCTGCTGGAATTTGACACGGTCGATTCGGGAAGCGGGGATGATGAAGACCCGTACTGAGCGATCGGGTGCTGATGCAACAGGAGACGATCTCTTCGGCCATAGTCGTCGTCTGTCGGCATCCTGGTGGCCCGGGGCCCACTGTCAGGACATCTGCAACAAAAATTGCGATTGCAAGCTTGAGATTAGAACTGTGACACGTAAAAACGGAGATTTATAAACCGATTGATTTTAACAAAACAGCTCTTTGTTTAATTTTATCTTATAATATACAACAACTTTTTATATGTATATAATACCTTTATGGATAATATTTAATATGGATAATATAAAAATTAGTAGTTCTTGAAAATTCTATTTTTATCTCTATTTAAAATACGTATCATCTAAAATAAACCTGAGAGACGTGCCGCGGCGAAAGATATATTTTTGTTACAATGTGAAGAGATCGATATAATGGTTACACCTGAAAGTCGACAGATAGCATTATAAAATAGCAAGGTGTCATAAAGTTGATATCATTCCGATATGAATATTTATTAATTAATACCTGTTTTTTTTAACTCCTCTTAACAGTGAAGTATTTAAAATTTTATACTAGTGACATTAAATAATTTTTAGAAATTAATAATAACAGTTAATAGCAATTTATTAATTTGTTTTTTATGTAAGTTATAATATACACCAATCTGCAAACATGTAAGTTTTAAATTCTTTACTAAACGTTATGCGTTGTATCCCTTTGGTATCTCACTAAGGAGATATAACGTATTTTCTATGTAGGATATGTAATGCGTTTTAATCAATTTTATGATACCGTGAGAGATATACTATATTAAAGAAATATTAATTGCTTATTAAAATACACGAATATTTGAATTTAGGAAAAGATTCTTATCATACTTTTTTGGATATGTTGACAGTTGGGTCAAACAAAAAAGTAAAAAGACATTACAGTTAGAATCGAAAATATTTAAATTAGGTGTTACGTCCTGGGTGTCTCGGAAACTACGAATTTCTCTTTTTAATTATATGATTGGGAAACAGACGGACTTCGGGCAAGCGCTACTGTAATAAAGATAAGATTACAATGGCCGCAGTTAAACGTGCCGTATGGTTCCCAATGCGTCTATCATCTTTTTCGCCTTCACGTAAGGTATGTAGTTTATTTACATCCTGGGTACCCCGGGGACAACAAATTCCTTTTTTTATAACTAAGATAATCTGCCGCCTCTACGATGAGCACGTATTTGTTCATCCTGGGTACCTAGATAGCAGCGAATTCCTTCTTTTATGATTATAAAACAAGCAGATTTGAGCAAGCGCTTTTATGGAAAAGATACGATTACACGCCGCCCAAATACGTCATAAGACTCCCGATGGGTCTGCGATCTTATCCTCCTATGTACACAGCCGGTCGAACGAAAGTCCTTCGATAGGATTATGTTCTTAGGATCATTTATGACATCCAAATAGTATTAAGAATTTTCCAGAATAACCATTTCCCACGCAACCTTCTCTCATTGGTGATCGTCATCCACCACCCCCTGAAATCTTTCCTATATAAGCCTCACTCTTTTGCCGTGAGTTCAGTTCAGTTCAAGTTTCAGTTCAAGTCCAGTTCAAGTTCAAGTTTTGAGTGTTTCAGTTCTCTCAGTCTTCGTCAGTCTTGAGTCTTAGTTCTCATTCTCAGTATTCTTTTGTAATTCTCAGTTGTGTTCAGTCTTAGTTCATTCGTTCTCGTTCTCGTTCTCAGTTTTTAGTCCAGTCCATAGTCTGTTTTTAGTCTTCGTCAGTCTTCTTTTGTAGTCTTCATTTTCCGGGATCCTATAAATCTGGTACACTACGATCAACGAACTCATGTTCTACGTACTATTCATCACAGTTGATTCATCTAAATCGTAAGTCTCGATTTCATATTTAAACATGACTTTTAATCGTTTCAATCCAATCTCCAATCCCACTTTACTCCCCAAACCACACACATACACTGCGTAATTATCATCTTCCTTGTATATAATGATGTTTTCCTCGCCATACCGATACGATAAACATTCTTGTTACGTTAAATCCAATCGTATTATATTAAGTTACACGGATTACCTTTTTTTCTTAATCTCACTTTAATCTTCATCTTGTATTCGCATTATTCCAATAATGCTGATTTATAAAAGTTGTTTAATGTTAACCCACATATCTCATTGTTTAACTTTAGCTAACCCTTTCATCTTTTAAATGTTGTACCTTTTTACAATTACTTTTTTTATCAATTCACCACTATTATTAATCCATCCGAGAACCAAATTATGTTATTAATAAACTGTTTTATTCAAAATGCCCTAAATTTAATCAAGTCGTTAAAACTATTTATTCATCTCTTTTCAATTACCTAAATCTAAATTCCCCTCTCAACACGTTCATATGGTCCTATCCCAAGTAAAGAAATTAAGTTCTTTGACCTAAATAAAGGACCACCTAACGTACGTTCTGTGATCGGAGTAAATGAGCCTCTCCGGACCTGATCTGCAGACCTACCACTACGTTTAGGGTTCGCGAGTGCGCGAGTAAGCGATTATGTTGCGTTCGTCCTCTTCCAGGACGTAACATAGGAAAACAATTGGAATTCCCGCCTAAAAAGTAACGTAAATTATAAATGTAATCTTATGTTTTTTAGGTCATTAAATACGATGGCATCTTTGTTCGTCTAAAGTTGTAGAAAAGTGATCAAGTAGGAATTCGCCTTAAAATCGAAATCAGTCATATTTAATAATAATGTGGTTAATGATAATTTTGTTCTAATTAATTACTTATTAAAGTTTAATCTCTCTCTCTCTCTCTCTCTCTCTCTCTCTCTCTCTCTCCTTCCGCATAAAGAAATTTTACGTTTTCCTGGACTTTTACATTTTTCACGATGCTAAGACTCTGAAGTAGAAAATATTTAATCTCATAATTGCCAGGTAGTAATGGATTCTTACAAAACTATAATAATGGCGAAAGACATTCGTAGCTCGCATAAAAGTATTTAAGTACTTCACTCTTTAACGGACTAAATCAGAATTTCAATTGGTCACTAATGGATTCTCGATTCCATCCGTCTGCTGTTTCCAGGTCATGCGAGTCTAAAAGTATCCGAATTAGTATGCCATTGGTAGACGCCAAGTTAGATTAGCCTGGAAGATCATGCGAAACGATTATTATTCTTTCACTACACTGACGTTTCCGTCGTTCAAAATTGTTGAACCGTCTCAGAAATCAATTGCAGTTACTAAAAATTGGGAAAAGTATCATATTTTTAAATATTAACATCGAATTTATTGCACGACAGTTAAACGAAACGAGTCAACGATTTGAGACGAATGAAATAAAATTCATAATTTAATTGAACAACATTTTGCTAAAAATAAAAATTATCGAGATATTACCATTTCCAAACCATCTTAAGAGTTAATCAAAATTCTAATTCGAAAACGTAATATTCACATTATATTTTGGGATATTTTTAGATATATCTAGAAAATTTAATTTTCGATGAATTTGAGAAACGAAAAAAGCAATGACATGTCGAATACTTTTTATTAAGTAATGCAAATTAACACAAACTTTGTTACCTATTAAAGGTGGAACAAAGCAGGATGATTCTTATATTGACATTTGTCATTAATCGTCAAAAATCTTTAAATCATCAAACAAAAATAGTCATTGTCGAATGAACAGTTGTTCTAAAACAATTACATCGAATCCGATTGAACCATCTTTAACGGAGAAAACATACTTTAGAATATACAAAGGCATATATCTAGATTAACACGTGAAAGAAAAACATCGAAGTGGATGATACTAATTCGAGGCTTCCATAAATCACTTCGTCTCCTACTGCTCTTTGTAGTCTCGCCACTACGAAGTTCCGCGAGAGAACGAACGAACGAGGTCGGTATTTATGAAGGACGATAAATAATAAGAAAGCATAATAAGCGACGCACTGCCCTGCGCCACATTCCCGTTGTAACCATTTCTTCTCCCATCCCTTATCACCCCAACCACCGTTGCTGGCTATCGTCCGCCGTTCGCCCTTTCCAAGGGGAGAGCCTCCTTGACTCTTTCTGATTTCGCCTCGTCTGGATGCAATAAATTCACGTCCGCCACTCAACAGTTTCGTCCCTTCCTGCAGATATTTTCCCCTGTCTTCTCCGATCTGACCCCCATTTTTCTTCGGTCGGAAAAGTCGCGGGAAAGCATCAAACGGAAATATCGAAGTCAGAAGAAAATATGGCAATGTCGCAAAGGGGACCGTGCGGGACAGTCACTCCTTTTCTTTTTTTCTTCCTTGTTCGTTGCATGAGTTCCTACCAGTTTTACCAGGAAATAGTTTGTCGCATAGGAGTATCGAAAATTGTCTAAGAATTACATTCGAATTCCTGATATTTCACTCTTTCTCAGTCGTATTTTTTTTGGTTAATCCGGAAACGATTTTTCTTGGACGAAAAGTGCAGGATAATTATCGTACAATAATTATTGTCCATTGCAATTTTACAAGTTTTGACAATTAAGCTTCAAAATTCGATCAAGATCCTCATTTGAAGTGAACCGGTAACGACTCTTGCGTCGTTATTTATTCGTTCACTCATGGTTTAGTTAATGAAAAGCCCTTTGAATTTCAATCATTAATTATTTGAAGAAAAGTAGAAATCGCGATGAGATTTTAATATTTATAACATCTCGTGCATGCGGAAATTTTTTCTTCGTCATCGATGAAAAAAAGAATGACGATCACGTCAGGTCGATGAACCGTTCCTGGTAAATGAACCATGGATTATGCGACCATAAAATTTTATTTGTCAGCCGGAGTGAAGTTAAGATATGGCTGGCTACTATCCTACATTCTCCACTAGCCCACCTCCGTGAAACAACCGCTTCGACCATATTATTCGAGCTTACTTATCGCATTCGTTAATTTCGTTAGAAAGAGATCTCTGTCGACACACGTAATGTAATTTCGAGATTTGGAAAAATGTCAATTAAAAAGCAGGAAAAACAGGAAACTTCACACGTGGTTACTTTAATAATATGACTGTTTATATTCGCTTATCGATTCATAGATATAACTATCGATCCTTTCTGTATCTGTTGAATAATTTAGCCGCCCGTTTCCACAT